CAAGCCCCTGAAAGGGGGAGAAGCATGGGGTCCAGTGCAAGGAGGTGGGACAAGCCTCAGTTCTAACAGGGGCGAAGGAGAGCATGATGCCAGCAGATGGAGGAGGTTTGAGGCTTTGGAAAGGACAGTGAGAGTCCCACACATCTGCTTCAATTTTCTCTGTAACATAGACAAGTTTGAGATGAAAGGGAGGAGAGAAGAGAAGAGGCTGCAGCTAAGTCAATGGGCAATTACAACACAGCCTGAGAAGTGCCCCAGGAGAGCAAGTACACAAAACTGGAAGCACAGAGGAGCACCTCCCTGGTCCATCCTGGAGAAGCCAGGGAGGGCTTCATAGAGGAAGCAACATCAGAGCTGAATCTTGAGGGATGAATAAGAGTTGGCCAGGAAAAGAGATAACCAGCAAAGCACATGGAAAGGCCAGGAGAGCAACGGCATGGCACACTTAGGGAACAGGAAGCACAGATAAAGCCTAAAGTAGAAAGAGGGGAAAAAAGGCAAAATTAGGGTTTAAAGGTGAGAGGGGCCAGTCATCGTGGCCTTGAAGGCCATGGGCAGGATTTGAGCTTTATCCCCTGAGTCTTTCAAGCCACTGCAGGAAAGAGGCCACCCTTTCAACAGTTTGACTTTTAGGTTTGGGGGTTTGTTTTTAATGCACATATAAGCATATGTAACAAAAAGTGAGATCATTTTACACAAGGCATTTTATAATCTGTTTTTTTCCACTCAACAATATGTCATGAAAATATTTCACATTAACGAATACAAGTTATCTCAGTCTTTTTAAGGACTGGTCAACCAGGCCAACAATGTCCATGGCCATGGAGCAGTCAGGCATGACATGGGCTGATTCGGCCATCAGGAGGTCACAGCTTCAGGGAGTGGTGGGGTAGAGGCCAGCTGCCAAGAAATGAGGAAACATGAAAAGAGGAAGAGAGACAAGTCTAGCAGACTAACCTTTCAAACACTCAGCTGAGATTTTAATACAACACACACAGAGACTATCAGTGACAACAATGAAACATGCACCATACACTAGAGAATTAACACTAGCCAACTCTCAATAGTGAGATTATAAGTTATTTGTTGTCTTTCTTTTTATCTTTATTTTCTAAAATTTCTACAATGGCCATATGTCACTTGTAGTTAAGGCAAAATTATAGGTTTAAACGGCAGCAGCTAGAGGAAGACACCAGATTAGAAAGGTTTTTCTAGATAGGAGCCTTGAGCATATTTATAAGCTGGGAGGAAGGTCTGAAGGAAAACAGTGGAGAGGCTGAAGAGACAATAGAGGGGGAAACAGCTGATGGATATTGGTGCTTCAGGAGACAGGTAGGTTCAGCATCCATAGCACAGAGTGGGAGCATTAGATTAGAAGCACTCCTTCTAATGGGATTCAAGAAGTGGAGAAACATGGGTGTGGTTCCACCTTCCACATATACCCTCCACTAGCCTTCTTCATGAGTAAAAGGCTTTGGGATAGTAGCACAGTTTGGAATACTCCTCCCACGGAACAGAATAGGGAGCTGATGGGAAAAGGAGAAGTGTTTCCAAAGTGATGAGGCTGGAGACTCTGCATGGAAGCAGAGCCAGCCTGCCCTGGTATGCGATGGTCACCAGAAGCTTTCTATATTCTGAGTATAGAATCCAGAGTTGGGGGGCCTGCTGCTGAGGTGGGACAAACAAGCAAAGTGACATAGTAATTGAGGGCATGGATCACAGAATGGTTAAAATCCTAAACCATGGGGTCCAGAAAAGACACAGAAGCTGTCATGCTCATGGGACAGAGAAAACGGAGGTGTCAGAGAACTAGCCGTCTCCTTGAGGCCCCAAAGTAGATAAAGCAGAAACTGGACTGTGGTCAGAGAAGAATACTGGAATTCAAGATTTCAGAGGTGGCTACATGCCAATGATGACCAGATTCACGTGTGGCTGGCAGAAAGGGTGGCTGAAGGAGGCATCACCTCCCACAAGACAATGGGATGTGGAGTGGGAGACTGTGGTCCAGCTTTAATGTCTTCCAGGAAAACAAAGAAGAGAGGCAGGGGGAGAGTGGGTACTAACTAGACTGTAGGAGACTCAAGGGAGGAGACTCTAACCCTGGCTCCAATCTGACCCCCAAGCCTGGTCCCAGGCTTTCTCCCAAAGGTATACCCATGGTTACAGAGAAATCAGTGTAGAAAATTAGAGACGGTGGGAGAAGTCAGAGCACAGGGCAAGGCTGCCTTGTTTGTATATGGTTAGCCCTGAGAGAATTTAAGCTTGGGAGGGCTACAGAGGCTGAGGTCACAAGAATGGAAGGTTCCAGTCTCCTCTGCTCTTATTTCAGGGATAGCCTTTAAAATACTTGTATTTGTGGGGTGGGGGTGGGAGGGTACAGCAATGACTGGTCTCTGCAAACCAAAGTTCTTAAACTGAAAAATGGGGAAAGTAGCAGTTTGCTCCTCAACTGAGAGTTTTTCATAATGTTGGGGGTATTAGAGGTGCTATATATCCCCCCAAAATGTAGGCCTAAGAAGCACCTCCTTAGTTATCAATAAGATAGCAAATACGACCTGAATTTTGCTTAAAAAAAAAACAGATTACAATTTATTCCATTTCTTACTGTGTATCTGGGAGGACAGAAGGTCCCACAATAGAGAAAGTGAGGTTCATGGCAGAGAGAAGGAAGTCAAGTCTGGCCTCAGATCAGGACCTGGGGTTAGTTCCAGGGCTCCCTTACTCACCAGCCCTCTCTCCAAGCATGAGCTTCCCATGCTTGGCATAGAAATGGTCATTTTCTTCCTGCCTGCCTAGAGCCTGTCTGCTAAGATGGCAGTTTTCCCCTCTTGCTCTACCTCTGGTCCCCTTATCTCACACCCAGTCCCACATCCCCAGCCCTAATGTCCCAGAACTCTGAATCATCCTTAGAAAACATCACTCTCCTGGCATCACTATTACTGTCCTATGATGACGCTTCAGTAGCCCCTACTGATCCTGTGCCTGGCATTCAAGGCCTTGTGTCATTCAGCTACAAACCTCCCACCCACCACCTTTTACTTCTCTACCTGTTTCCCATACAACCCATACAGCCCATACAAGAGAGATCATATCTAGCCATCCCCTCTGCTTCCAATGCCCCAAACCAGAGCCCTGTCACTCCTCTAAATCCTACTAGCTTCTCACATCCCACCTCATCTAGGAAGTCCTTCCAGACATCCCTGTTGTGCCTCCCACTGCTTAAATTCTGAACCAGTTATTGGGCACCAAGTACTCCCTCATTCTCACCCAATCTCTACCTCACTCCCTCCTGGATGGGGCTTCCAGGAGGGACCCAGTACAGAACAGGGCACAGAGCACAGTCAATCATGTTCTTGCTCAAGACTTGGACACCCTCCCAAGGAGTGGGAGTGGAGCAACGGATGCCCTCCAGCAATCAGGCTAAGCCCACAGCTTCTGTCACCCCTGCTGTATCACACTTCCTCCAGGAAACCTTCAGAGACTCCAGGCTGTCAGTAAGAAAGGAAGTTCTCTGTAGAGGAACTGCTGTGTGGAGGGGGCAGGGAAAGGGAGAGGAAGGCAGAGAGAAGGGGGAGGAAAGGGAAAGGAAGGAGAACTGATAGGGATGCTCTAAACTAGAACAAGCAGCTTCCTCAAGGGAGATCAATACTTAGTCCTATTATTTCATCCCTAGAGAAAGATGCTGGCAAAGAGATGCCCAGAGAGGGGAATCAATTTGTTCAGAAGTGGCCAGCTGGCCCGCCAGGGAAAGGGTTAAAGAAACAGCCACAGCATCCACAGCCCCTACCCAGAGCTCCCTTCCCAGGACCCTGCTAACTCTCCAAGGGTTTGCTAGACTTAAGAAGACCCTCTTTCTGTGGCCCATTCACCAGAGACAGTCCTCTCTCAGCTCTTCAGGCTCACCAAAGCCAGATCAAATCTCAACTACAGAGATTTGTGTATCCCCAAACAAAATCTCTCTCCAGTCATGCCTATGCAAGAACCATTTCCCTCTTTCAGAGGCCTGCCTCTTGGAAACAGAACAGGTAGAGCACAGGCTGCAAAAATCTCCAGACTGGCCCACCCCATGGGCACAGTCACATGGCTGGGCTCACAGGCCAGGCTCCCCAAAGGCTATGCTAAATTCCCACCTCTATGCCTTTGACCAGACCATTCCCCAGAAATGCCCTCTCCTCCCAACCAAATCTCACAATCTCCAAGAAGCTTGCTATTCACTGGCTCTTGCCTCCCTTCTTCCTTATGCTCCTGGTGTCCACGGGAAAGTCCTGGCCCTCCCTAAACTCCTCAGCCTGGAGCTGGGCCATTACCGGTTTGAACGGCCTGAGTTAGCGAATTCTCAGTCCCAGACTCTACTTGGTTTCCCCAACTCCTAGATCAGGAGCTCCTAGAGGCAGGGGCAGGGATGGGTTCCCAAACATCTCACCCCCATCCTCGTGACCCACTCCTGCCAGCGTTGTAATGCGCTTCTTCCGGCGCCCCCAATACACCACCCCAAAGCCCTGGTGGACCCCAGGGTCAAGCCAATGCACCCATCCCCTGAAATCCCGAGGAGGCTCAGACCAGCGGGCCAAAGGTCTGCTGCCTCCGGGAGGCGGGGGTTGCAAGGGTGGGGAGTACAACCTGGGTCCACCTGCAGGCTCCTCTTGTGAGGAAAGACCAAAAGGAGGCTTCAGTCACCCCGCCTCCAGGCGCCCCCAACCCAGGCCGCGTGCACCATCCCCAGGAGGGGGAGGCCTGTTTCCAGGGAACGCCAGGTGGGCCTGGGGGTGCTGATAGAAGGCCCAAGGCCCAACTCCAGAATCCAAGGGTCTGACGTCATCTAAGACCCAGGTTCCCTCTGCTGGAGCCGGTAATGGGGATGGTGGGGGTTGGGAGGCCTGGGAGCACCCGGGACGCTCTTCCTCCGCCCCAAACAGGGAAGGTCACCTCCACTCCCCATCTCTCCAGCTCCGCCTGCCTCCTGCATCCAAAGGTGAAGCGTAGGAGGTACAAAGCTGGAGATGCGGAGAACCTTTCGCCCTGTGCCCAACTTCGTTGCAAAGCCCTTCTCTAGGCCTTTAGGCCCGGGACTTACCCGCCGCTGTCGCTCGGCAAAAGCCGCCGCGCTGCGCTGCGCTGCGCTGCAACCAGCGATGCGGCGCGGAGCCGGCCACGAGCCGCTCCGGGGCTGGGGGCAGGGTGCGCGCGCGCGCGCCTCGGGCCAGTTTCTCGCGCGCCCGCGCCGCCCCTGCCTGCAACAGCCTCTCTCGCGAGATTCCCGCGCTTCCTCTAGGGCTGCTCTGCCTGAGCTCGCGAGAAGGAAGGCCTGGCCACCCCCGCACCTTACAGGAGCTGTCCGAGGTGCTAAATTCCCGGGACAGCGCCCGGTCAGGTGGTCTGAGGGCACCACGGGGACAAGAGCGAGGCAAAGAGGTCGAAGAAAAGACCCAGAAAAGGAGTCTGGTACCAACTACCAGAGCCTCAGCTTCCAAATCCGTAAACTGGGGAGAATAACCTTCCATGCCGGTCCCAAGAGCCGCTGAAACGAACCAAAAAGGAAGAGTGAGAGGGAGTTTGTAAGCAGGAGAGTGTGATAACTGATGAAGGCCCTTCAGATCCACAGGCCCAAAGTGACAAGGAGAGGATGAAGGACAGAAGGTCAGAGATGAGACATAAAGAAACAGAAACGACACATAGACAAGGACACACAGATGCACGGAAGGACAGACATAGAAAGACAAGAAAGGAGAATCTTGAAAATAAAGACATAGAAACATGAAAAGGCAGAGATTTGCAGTGATCACAATTTGGAGAGAAAAATAGACAAGGAAAGATAGAGAAGAAAGAGCATGATAAAGTGAGAAAGAGGTAAGAAATAGAGATTGACAAGCTATGCAGAGCAATAGAAAGAGAGAGGCTTAGAAAGAGAAACAGAAAAGAAATAAAGAAAAGAGAAAGAAACTGTGATATACAGAGATGAACACTGAAAGTGAGTAGAGACCAGGGTAAATGTTTAAAAACCCAGAACTAATAAGGGTTGAGAGAGACCCACTTGGAGAGATGAGGCTCGGAGTGAAAGACAGGATTTTATTGTGAATGGTGTTTATGCTGTAAACCTCCTGTGGGATATCTACAGCTTAACCCAGCCTCTGTCCTGCCAGCCAATGGCTCTTGCCCTCCACAGTACCCTCTGCCCACATCACCCTGGGCCTAGAAGGGGGCCTCAGTGGGTGGGAGACACTGTGGGGATTCTTTGCCCTGAATAAGGGCTCTTTGTCTGACTCCAGCCTGCTGAGAGTGGGGCCTCACTCCCACAGCTGGGATAGAAAGGGGGCAGGAGTGAAGAAAGGCAGACAAGAATTAATGCAAGAGAGAGAAGAAAAGGAGGGTGCTTCAGGGGCTGTGGAGGGTTGAGCAGAAAGCATAATCTATGCCAGTCAGGACAGAAGAGTCGTGGGCTGAAGGGCAGGACACCAGGGTTCTGCTTTTGGTCCTGTGCTTGGTCCACTCAATGGTCACTGCTGTCTATCTCTGCTTTAAGGCAAGCCTTAACTGATTTATAGAGTTGTGAGAGGACCCAATGAAATGGTGAATGGGACCCTGAGGAGGTTATCAAGCATGGCTCTACAGGAGAGATGTTAGGTGTCCATGAGGGCCCCAGGAAAGATACATGGGTTCATATGAGTCTTCAGGAGAGGGATCTGATGTTCACAATGAAGGTTCACAGTGGAGATGTCTTGGATCCACATGGGATTTACAGGAGTTATCTTGTGGTTCATGTGGGTCCTACAGGATAAATGTTTGGGTTCCCATCTGATGGCCACAAATGACTTTTCCCCAGTTAGGAGAATTAGAAGGGCCTCCTATTTGGCTAACAACTGAGGCAGGAAAAGTGCCCAGGTCCAAAGTAAGTAAGAAGCCCATCATTGTCCCAGTGGATTGCACCTTCAGAATCTGGGTAAATAGAAGAGAACAGTGCTTCATGAGTGACAATCATTTAAACAAACTTTAAATTCAACAAGCATTTGCTGGTCACCTATGAGAAGCAGCATAGTGCAGTGTTTAAGAATATGGACCTAGAAGGCAGACTGCCTTCCCCATTCCAGTTGTGTACATTTAAGCAAGGCATTCATCCTTACTGAATCTTAGTTTTCCACATATGTAAAATAAAGATGATGATAACAGTATTGATGTCTTACAGTTCCCATGAGGATGAAATGAATTAACACATGTAGGCATATGTAACACATGGGATAGTGCATGGTACACAATATGTATTTAATAAATGTTAGCTCATACTATGTGCCATGCTCTGGGGGCATGTCTGGGACATGTATTTCTCATGGAGAAAGGCAGAAGTGAAAAAGCTTGAGCCAAACCATACAATAACACATTAAAAGCTTCTTCTCAAATGTGATGAATATCATATCTGCTCATGTGCCACATATCAAAGCATGACCTATGGCTAATGCATGGGCAACAGGGAAACTTGCTCCCTCTAGAGGATGCAAGGCATGACAAATACTAGGGATGTTTAATCCTATAGCAGGGAGGGAGCAAATGACTGGGAACAGTAAGACAGTCACCTGTTAAGCCAGCTCCAGACTGCTTATATTTTTCTGCTCAGCTATGGCTGAATAAGGCATGTACACCCAATGGTTTCTGCAAGAATATCTATGTTATAGGACAGTAAACAACTGGAAAGAAATGAAGACTGACATTTACTGAACCCTAAATATGTCTGAGTGAGATGCTAAGCCTCATGACTGTACTATAAAGTAAATGGTTTTATCCCCATTTTGTAGATGAGGAAAGTGAGGTTCAGAGAGGTAAAGTGACCAAGGAAATAGAATGGATGTACCTAAGAAGAGGAAGAACCAGTATGTTTAGGTTGGGTTTCCCCAGAAGCATACACTGAGATAAGGATGTGAGTACAAATGATCTATTTGAGAGAGATCCCAGGAAGCACTAGTAGAGAAATGGAGGAATTTGAAACAAACAAATAAAAGTAACCCAATTCAGGGTGCAATAATGAGCAGGTTACTACTGTGGGCAATAGTGGCTCGATCCTACTGGGGACCTCTGGGACACAGTGCAGAGTACAATGCAGTGGTCCTACCAAAAGAATGAGGAAAGCACGGGTTGAGGGCTGCTCCTGGCACTTCCAGATTTCCCTGTGTCTGAGCAAAGAAAGCCCACAGGCAGAAAATCTCAGGGGCTTGCATGCTCTAAGACTATAAGAATAAGAATATATGCTCTAAGACTATAAGAAGCCATCAGGAATGGCTAGATGGGCACGCGAGGGCACTATACAGTAGCATATACTACAACCAAGATCTAAATCCAAGTCTGTCTGGCTCTCAAGCCACATCATGCTGCTGTTAGTCCTGTGGAAGTTTGCAACATGGAGTTTCCTTTCTTAAGAAAGAGACTCCTGCTCCCTCCACCTTACTCCATGCTCCTGGTCTTATGAGATGCCAAGTCTCTGACACTTATGTAAGTATGTATGCCTGATAGCATAGCACTGAGCATACAGTGATGCAAATTCTTGCCTGTAGAGCCATGGCACTGTCAGAGCAGTTCATTCAGTTCACTCATTGGTGGGCAACCTAGAGCTCAGAGGGTTCACTCTAGACCTCCCTCTACAGTGCCTCTCCCCGCCACACCTCCTTCCTACAACCTCACTCCCCATGTTTGTCTTCTCCCCCCAACCAGACTGGAACCTCCTCAAGGCAACCCACAGTATGCAAGAAAATATTTTCAAGTCACTTTTGGAATATATGAAGAATTCTTACAACTCAATAATAAAAAAAAGATAATTTACTATAAAAATGAGCAAAGGATCTGAATAAAAATTCCTTCAAAGAAAGATAGACAGATGGCTGATAAGCACATGAGAAAGCATGCTCAACCTCATTAGTCATAAGGGAATGCAAGTCAAAACCACAATGAAATACCACTTCACATCCACTAGAATGGTTATAATCAAAAAGACAAATATTAATAAGTATTGATGGGAATCTGCAGAAATTGAAACCCTATACACTGCTGGAAGGAATGTAAAATGGTACAGCCACTTTGGAGAACAGTCTGGCAGTTTCTCGAAGAGTTAAACATAGAGTTACCATTTGACTTATCATTTCTACTCCTAGGTATATACCCAAGAGAAAGAAAAATGTATGTTCACAAAAGACTTGCAAATTCATTGCAATTTTATTCATAGTAGCTAAAAACCAGAAACAGCCATCAACAAGAAAATGAATAAAAAAACAAAACCAAGAGAATGAATAAGCAAATTATTGTATATTCAGACCTTGGAATATGAATTAACAATAAAAATGAATAAGCAACCAATAACTACAATAACATGGATAAATCTCAAAAATATTATGTTGAGAAAAATATGCCAGACCAAAAAATGTATACTATATGATTCCACTTATATGAAGTTAAAAACCAGAAAACTTAGTGTGATAGAAGAATAGTGGTTCCTGGCTGGGGATGGAGGTAGACTGACTGAAAAGGGACAGAAAAGAAATTTCTGGGGTAGTGGAAATATTCCAGATCTTGTTTGGGATGATAGTTATAAGGTATATAAAATCATCAAAACTTACCAAACTGAAAATCTAAGATCTGTGCATTTTGTTGATTATAACTCAGGATAGGATTGCTAGCTTTAAAAATGGGGATCCCTGGGGTAGCTTGAGTCCAGAAAACATAGATAATTCCAGGCCTCCAAGCTCTTGCCTATACCAGAAACCCAGGTCAGAGACCACCTCTCACTGCTTCTCTTCTACCAGCAGTGCCTCCAGTAGACCACTTGGGGGCACTCACGCCTGCTCTTGCACTTGGCATCCTCTAACACTTGCAGAGCCAATTCTCCACCAGCTATGTTGCTCTGCTGGCAGCTGGAAGTGCTGGGCATTGGGTAGCCTGCTGGCCTACACACAGCTCATTTTCATCACCACCACCTCTTGCAGGCTTGCCAGCAGCTCTGAACGTGTAAACACTCACTGCTCACGCGAGTTAGAACAGGAGTGCACTCCCCAACCTGCTCCCACTAACTGTCCAGAGAGAAAAAACACCCTTCACAAGTCCCAGCCTGGGTCTGGCCTGGTAAGCACTGACCTTGGTCGCTGGCTGAGCCCCTGGATACCAAATCCATAGAACACACTCCAGTCCTTACCTGCCTGACAATTTGGGTACATTGCAAAGCCAGTCTTGCTTTTCCTCCACAGTCACCCTTCCCCCTCCTCAGTCCGATACCTTCTCCACTGGCAACTTTGCCCTCTGCAAAGCCCTGCGCTACCTCTGAGGTGCCCGGAGCTCCCAGAGCTCTATCTCTGGTTTGAATTCTCTTCTGCATTCCAGGCCCATCTCAAACTGGGACTCCAGACATTTTCCCTATATTTGTTCCTCTGTGATCCTGCCTCTAAAAATGGCCCTATCATCAGCGAGAAGAC